TCACGAGCAGGTAATTGTTTTGAGTTTCCAGGCACAAGTGAAAAACCCTCTGCCTCCTCACCTAAATATTAAAGCTTTTCTGAAAAAGTCAGCATCATACTGTAATACAAAGATAATCCTTTGGTACTAAACCTGTGAAACAGAAGCCATGAACCGTGCTGTCTGTAATGAAGGTCAGGAAGCTCTCTGCAGGTGAAAGAATGATTACGAGGTTTACATACATGCTGAAAAAAAATGTGTCACGGGTCTCATAAACTAAACCGACACAGCACATTTTCCGCACATGCCGTGCACTCTTTTAATGTGCCAGTGCTACGCTATAAAACTGCAGGTATCCATCTCCAAGGTGATAGTCAGTACACCCAGCCTCCGCACGGCCGGTAGCTCCATACGATCTGTCAGCCCCGACTGCTCCTTCTTTCTTCTGTCGGAGGTGATTTGTCCATCGTGTAGAACCAGATACCATTTCTGATGATATTTAGATATCGATGATTTACAGAGAACAGTTCACGTCTGCAGTTACGTAGACTGTCGTGTTATTACTGTCGGCTTGAGCAAGAGCTGGATTTCATTGCTCTGTTTAGTTTTGGAGTTTAGTTTCTTTGTAGCTCTGATGATAGTGTTGATCACTAAAAACTTAATGTATTTACTGTGTGTGTGTGTGTGTGTGTGTGTGTGTGTGTGTGTGTGTGTGTGTGTGTCCAGACAGTCACCAGTGTACTCTTTTACCCCCTGCTGTTTCTTTTGTCCCCAGCCCCTCAGGACTGCTATTCCCAGGCTTTACATAAGTAAATTCAGACATCTCATTTCTCTGTGTCAAAGAAACTCTATCAGTTTAACTTTTGTTCTGGTTTTAATCATTTAAACGATCTTCCTGAGCTCAGCTGACGTGTGCTGTGATTTTCCAGGGATTTTTGCCCACAGTTGATCCAAAATAATGTGTAAGACTGATTAAAGAACCAGCAGTATGTCTGCCTGCAGTTATCTGATATTTGTTTACCTCCTTAAGTGTAGAAAGAGCGCCATCAGTGTGCCATCACATGTACAATGCCACAACTCATCCATCTTCCCGTGTCTTTGTGTATTTGACAGGACATGACAGGACTGACGACACAGCAGCAGTAATGTCCGTGCATGCCTTTAGCTTTCTGCTACAGCGAGAAGTCAGTGAGTGGGTGTGAAGTGATGGGAAAAATAATCTGCATTTTCAAGATGACTTTATCGGAGCTCGTTGTGCTGTGTGTCAGGAGGTAGAGCAGGTGGCTCGATCCTTTGCTGCTCCAGTTCTACGCGTCCAAGAACAAGATACCGAAGCCAGAGTTGGTCACTGGAGACGCCGATAAAATGTGTGTGAAGGTTTAATAAACTGCATGTGTGGATGGGGGATGAAAGCGCTTTGAGTGCTCGTGCAGAGCAGAAAAGTGCTTACCACAGACAACTTTTGTATGTAATAACATGAATAATGTCCCACTGCATCACACAGTGTGCTGAATTCAATGCAGTGTCAATACAACCTCCACATTCTACTGCAGATACATGTACAGGTAGAAATGGAGTTCACACTGCTATAAACTCAACACTGCTTTTGTTAGCAGGCTGCATTAGTGTGCTGTCTGTACAGATGCTTGCAAAGAGCTGCAGCTGTGTTAGTGATATAGCTGTTCCTGCCCTGCACACGGTTTGCACACATTTCTATCTGCACAATGGGCAGATAGAAATCCAGCTGTCTAATATTTAACTGAGTGAAAACAGGTAATGTTTGAATTCCCCAAAGTCTTCATTAGGCAAAGAGTGAGGCAGACATGTGGCATTTAAGTAAATTACTTTCCATTTTAAATTCATGTCACATCTGTCAAATCAAGACGATAAAAACAAACAAAGAAATTTATAACTGAAAAGCCCACATACAGCTGTCCTGCATGGCCCTGATGCATCCAGCGCACGTTTCAGCAACTGAAAATAATTTGTCACACCATCAGAAATGATTACACCACACATATATACAAAATAGATTTTTAAAAAAGTGAAAATGGATGTTCTTTCTACCCTCTGCGAGATTAAGACATGAGCAACTTCATATTGTATCAATTGTAAAACTTTATAATAATTAATGCAAATTATCTAAAAGTTTAGTTACTAGTTTTTACTGTTAGACGAGGAAATGATAAGAATAATGTTCACTAATAGATGTGAACCATTTATGATCATTATCTGGATGTTTTTAAGTTAATAATAGTCATTTAACACTCAGACACAAGCGTTTGGCAGGATTCTGATGAAGTTGTGTTTGATCCTGGTTACAAGATGCAGCCGCAGAGCTGAGCGCCACTGCTGTCACTGAAACATCAAACTAAACACTTTGATTTTAACTTGGTAACATTTTTATTCATTTTCCTGACCAGGTTTTTAAAAAGAGGGTGGAGGGGGGACTGCTCAGTCCTTAATATGACACGTTTAACAAATGAATAGCTCTAACAGGGAAGTGCCCTTTGTGGTGAGTGGAATCCCTCCTGGGTGTGTGTGGAAGGTGTGTGGGTGAACTGTGTGGGCTTTCCCCATACAGAAGGCCTCTAAAGACCAACCTACACACTCAGGATCCCGCCTCTCTCCGAGCCATGACATCCAGCTGGAGCCTGTCAGCAAAACAGCCAACGAGGCAGAAACCATAAAAGAAGAGGAGAACAAGGAGAACAAAAGCTGTATGAGAGTGAGAATGCGAAGCAAAAAGAAACGTGCATGATAAGGAAAGTGTGATGCAGATGCAGAAGTGTGTGTCGGTGGGACCATCCTGGTGTGCAGAATAGGACAACTCCTACACTCACATTCCTTTATATTATATGGAAGTCAACAGGAACGACACACACATCCCCGACAGCTGCACGCTGATCGGGAAAAGCAGAAGTACCTGTCGCAGGAAGATACTCGCAGGGGGCCTGAAGCTTCCCCCGAGTGAGAATGCAGCGAGAAACCTGAGGAGCAGCAGCAGAGAGCGTTGTGTTTACTCGTCAGGCCGAGGTGGTCACGGGGCAAGAGCAGCAACGAGACTCGTCCACAGAGGATCGAAGAAATCCCACACACTCTCTTTCATTTTATTAAATGCATATTTCAAATACTGCCAGTAATGTAAAATTATATATTATACTTCATGTTTCTATTTACTTTACTAGATTTCAGAGTTTCAGGGTTGAACTTTTTCTTTTTGTTTTGTTTTTCAAAAGAAAAACAACAAAGACAACAATAATAAACCATAAAAATCCTCCCTGTGTGTCCTGTGTTTGTGCTCATTGTTCCACTGAACACAACATTAATTAGTGCATGCAATCCTTTGTATTCTATGACTAGCTTGATGACACTGTAGAATTGCTAACAAATTAGCAGTTGTTTAAGTTAATAAAACCAACAGCATTACTAGCACTAGCATTACTAGTTAGCGCTGTGAGACGATTGTCCAAACTACTGAACTAGCAGACAGATCATATAGACTAGCAGGATGAAATATTAATATTACCCTGAAGAAAGCCAGCTGAGTTACATAAAGACCAAGAAATGAATGCAATAGCTTGTATAATTACCTGGCAGGGTAATTATACAAATTTTGAGCATTTACTGAGACTGAGATGCTTGACTGAGCTTTGTAGTTGCCTTCAAAGAGCTGTGTTTGTTCCAGAGGGAGAGGATAGGTCAGATGGCAGGGTCTGCAGCCTGCCACAGTCTTTATTTAAAATGTGCCGCGAACGAGACGTTGTCTACACATGTAGAAAATGTAATATCTAAATAAATTAAGATGAAATGATCAAAGTGAATCAAAGGAATTGAGACTCATAATTTCTGAACCCTGACCTTGCTGAGACGCTCTGGCTCTCCTCTGCGGTACCATCACAGCGCCCAGTGCACAGCTCCTAGCGCGGGGCTGCTACATCTCTCTGCGCTCTCCTCGCCCGTCTTCTCTTCTTTCATTAGTGCTCCTGTGTTGAGAGGCCACTCCAACGGGGCAACAATGACCCCACTGTGTTACCAAGCTTTGTGTGGCATTTTATTCATCTGTACCCCTTCATCTTCCTATCCATGTGACCCCGTTCCCTCTCACACACATCTCGGTATAGTTCCCCTTTCTTCCCCGAGTCCTCCCATCTTTCTCTGCTCTTTTCCTGAATCTCTCTCGCTTCTCTTTTTATTCAATGAGGCATTAGTCAATTCACATTTTTCTGTTGTTTGCATGGACGCCTACAGAGTTCCTCTAAGACACTGGCGAGGGCAGAACAGTACAGAGAGCACTGTTCCTTATAGGTCAGGCTGTTATTCTGAACACTAACCTCAATTAACCTTTTTAAAGAATTAAACAGCTTGAACTTGGACCTTTACTGTTTGGCATGTTCTTTGTTTGTTTGCAAGTATTTTAGTTGAGCACACTGAGCACCGAGGCTCCAACAGCCCCGGGTTTGCTGCTGTTTGCAGAATGTAATTACAAATATTCCCAGCGCCTTTATGTCCCTGTGTTTTATGCCCCCAATCATATTTTGAAACTTTTAACAACGTTGACATTACGTTGGTGAAACCAACAGTTATTTTCATTGAAAGTTTCTCTTACAAATAATTTTAATAATTGACTGAGGATGAAATCAGTTGGGAAATAAGCCCAAATGAGCATTAAGGCTGAGGTTAGCACATTTTAATAAAATCAGCATTGTTCAGTTTGACCTACACGAGATGCTTCTACCTCTCCTTTGATATCACATGTGCTGTTGCAGCTGAACAGTGTCTGTTCATTCAATGCGTCACACACCCATTCCTGTTTCTAACAGATTCCAGGCCCAACACAAAAAACCTTGCAAATGTGCTTAAACTGACCCCAGGACAGCTTCCTCGTTACTGAGAGACTCTCGTGTGTTATTCACAGTCAGAGGAAAAATGTTGTTTACAGGCCAGAGTGTGGACATGAATATGTTAGTTAGTTCCTTCCTTTCAAAGTGAATCAATAACATTAATGAAGGACGAAGAGATTCATCATGCTGTATTTCTTTATTGGCGTTCAGCTGTAGAAGCAGGAGAGACGTACAAACTATGTGGATACAGCTCCACCTAGTGGTAGCACCTAAACACAATCCACCAAAATAAAAGCGCTTCAGACAGACAGACAGGGACCCTTACTGGATGCTACTTAAAGTGACCTGACACCTTTGTGTGTTGTTTGATGTGTTGATATTCTGCAAATCAATTTCCCAAAGACAGACTATTATTGAATGTAAAGGATTTAAATTGTAGTTGCATTTAGAGCAGACAGTAATACATGTTTGGATGAACTCAGTATTGGAAAATGATCTTTTGAAACTACACAGACCAACTGTTTACATATTACAGCAGTCTCCAACAAGTCTGAAAATGTGCCTCATGGGATCACAGATTAATGTCGTAAACCAGTGAGTGGCAACGATTCTTAAACACAATGAATATAAACAATGATTGACATTTATAATGAAATTATGGAAGAAACATACGTGATCTACGAGTAACCAAAGCAGTAGAGGCTGAGATATTCTGACTAAGATTCAGCCGCACTAAATCTGATTTCTGACCCTGCTCAGTAAACATGCTCTGCCTGTTTGTCAGCCATGTGACTGTAGTCACCTGACTTATGCAGTCACCTGTTCCTCATTCCCCCGCTGCTCAGCAGTGTATGTTATAAGGCTCTTCCCATAACCAGACCCTTGTTATGGATCTGCATTATCAAGCTTCATACTTTAGGCTGATTTTCCTGATCACATCCCGACTGCTGTCACGTTCTAATGTATCATTGAGTTGTTACTGGAAGAAGCCAAACAAACAAAGTCAGAACGTTAAACTGCCCATAAATCGTATTCCATTGCACTGATGTGTACAAGCCTCCACAAACAGCTGCGGTCGATGAATGTTAATGAGGGGAGAATATATACAACAATCCCGTTACTCTAAACACGAAAGCATGTCTCATCTGAGCAAAGCAGATTCTTGCACTGCACGGTGATGATGGTGGCGGGTGACTATTACCGTGCAAAGCACAGAATAACTCAAAGTGAATGACTGTGGAGAAAAGTCTTTCACAACATTTAGCCAAGTCAGAAACTACAGTTAGGAAACACCTTGATTCTAGATGTACAATCCTGTTTCCACCAACATGCAAACCACTCGTTGTGCTCAAGGAAAAGAGGCCAGATTAGACTCTGGAAAGGCCCTGACCACGTGATGGACACAGCTTTATGGCTGCTCGTGTTCAATGATGAGTGCTGACAGCATTAGGATGGATTTTAATGTGTAAAATGCTGCAAAATATTTACATCTGCTGTGTCAAAAAACACAAATCAATCATACATGAATTAACAATATTATCAGATGATATTATCAGAACAGCTCCAGCCTTTTGCTTGAACCAGATTCTGGTTCAGGCAAAACACACAAACTTAAAGTGTCTGCAGCAAAGAAGGAACACATCTCAGAGAGGCTCTGATCTGCTGAAACAGTGCAAAATCAGAACATTACAAATGGCACATGACTACAGCGAGGACCGACAACAACAGCCTGATAAAACAAATCACCATGATACTCTGTTTCACATTTATCTTATTTTGACAAAAGACAAAATCAGAAAAGTAGCTGAAACTAGTTAATGCAGCAGCAGAAGAACAAGACGTTGTTGTAATGCAGGATCTAATCATCAGTGATTAACTCTGGCTCGAGTTTGTCTCTTTGCTCTCTTCTGCTTCAGCCGCCGGGCCGGAGGGGCCTGGTTCTGCCTGCTCAGAGGGGTTTCTGTCTATTACTGTCATATCGTTTTTACATCACAATATAAAACACTCTGAGGCAACTGCTGTTGTAGATTGGCACTATGTAAATACAACTGAATTCAACTGAAGTGAATCTGAGACCAGTCTTTGCTTAAAGGAGACCTCATTTCATCTCCCCTCTTCGTGCATGTCTACAAGACTAAACTGTTTGTTCACATTTAATGAGGACAGGCTTCAACTGAGGAGGTAAAATTAACTCCACTGAGCAAAAGGCTGTGAAATTGTATTACTTTTCAGTTTTAAAGTTCACTTTAAAATAAAGGGCAGTTTCTTTAACCCTCTATTAGTGATTGGACCCCAAGTCTAGCCCTATATTCTAGAGAACGTGTTAGTTTGTTTTTGGTGAGTGGTTTGTTCCCTGATACTCAGCAGAACATTTTCTAAACCACAGAAATATTCGGACTGTCTCCGGTTAGAGTTTAAAGTTGGGGTTGTCATGGATTAAACTTGGGCCTCAGTGGGCTTACTGTGATCATGCAAAGCTGCTGTAGTGGAGTCCCAGAAAGAAAAAGAGTTGTAAAGTACACGATAGAGCCCCTTTTGATTTTTGATTCAAGCCAGCTAATTAAAAGGATTAAACATCCTGTTTGTTGACGCTCGATCATAAACCGTTTATGATCAGTCAGGCTGTTTTAGCTTGTGTCACAGGAAGTTTTCACCCAGACTAAAGGGGGTGAACTTCTGTGCTTGTTGAGCTCCGATCTCAGCCACATACAGAGCCCCAGTTTTCAGGTCTAGGTCTACCAAGTGGGGCTTCACATCATCAGCCAACTGGATCACACTGACCACTCTGCACTGGCCAATCATGCCTACAGGCGGCGCATCCAGCAGTGAAATCTGATTGGTGTTGAGCTGGACAACAACAAAGTACTTTTTGTCTGGGGTAAGGCGCACAGAATAGGGTGCATCTTCAGTAAAGCAGCTCCCCCACGTCCCCAGCCACTCCCCGGTGACAGAATTAAAAACCTGGATCCTCTTGTTTCCTCTGTCAGCCACCCACACCCTCTGGGCCGTGTCCACGGTCACGCTGTGTGGGATGTAGAACTGAGCTAGGCCTTGTCCTTTCTCTCCATGCATCCACATCACCTTCTGCTCTTTGGACAGCTTAATGAGGCGGTTGTTCATCCCTCCATCACCGTCCACAATATAAATTTCCCCAGAGTCGTGGACAAATATCTCGGCGGGCTGATCAAACTGCAGGGGGTCCAGTCCAGAACCTGCTTTTCCTGGCGTTCCAAGCACCTGAGACGAACAAATAGAGAATCAACAGGATGTTTTCTATTCCTATAATCACACTAGATACTTCAGAAACAGCTTTACTTAGCACCAAATCACCTGTAGCAACTTTCCTGATGGCGTGTACCGTTTGATGCAGTGACCATACGGGCCGTTCCCCACATCTGTGATCCACACGGTGGGGTTTGATGAAGCTGCATCTGCTAGAAATATTCCATGAGGCTTCTCCAGGGTGGTTGTATTCCAGGACATGAGGTAATCTCCGTCTGTAGTGAACACCAGCACCTTTGGAGCGTTGTCACCTAAAGGAAAGTAAATGCAAGCACAGTGACATATCTGCCCACTGCATCAGACTCCACATGCAGCCAGCATTTAACAAAGCTTGGTGTCCTTTAGTTTTAGTCCCTGCGGAGGACGTATGGCTGTAAAAGGTCAATGATGTGAGCTGGTGTTTGTCCATGAGGAGCTCTACAAGTCAGCTTGATGCAGCGACTCTCTTACTAACAAGATCTGCATGTGAACTGTATGATGCTGTGCATGTGTGAGAGAGGGAGAGAGGTCGCAGCAGTGTGGGATAAGCTGAAAGATGTGCTGACATGCTGGGTTAAATGGACTGAGAGCTGACATGTGCTCCATTTAAAGGAGGAGAAGAGAAATAACTGCTGATTATTACACGACTGACTCCTGACCACAAAACTGTGACACTGCAGAATTTGTTTGTCCACAAACCGATGCACTAGTTAAACAGAGAACAGCAGCACAGTGTCAAACCCCTCGTGTGTACTGACGTTTTGTAATTTTCTGAGTGATTTTTTTCTTTTTTAAAATCATCTTCTTCTTTCAGGGGGAGGTTACCACACTGCCTCCATTTCACCCTGTTCCCAGCACCTTCCTCTGTCGTGCTGGCACTCTGCGTGTTCACCCGATGAACCTCCTCTGACGTCTTCCTCTTTTCCTCCGGCCTGGCAGCTCGTCCGGTGTATCTACTCAGATTACAGATACCTTGATAATACATTCACAGATTAAAAGCTGCGCTGTATCATGTACTAAATACCACACACAGTTAGATGTCCCTCCACACCACAGCTGACCAGCCTTCGGCCGATGGTGATTTTTCGTTTTTACGGGCCAATGGTTTTTTGGTTTTTGTTTATTTTGTAATGGCATAAACAATGAAAGGTGGTTGATGGGCCAATGTGCCATGATCAATTCTGAAATGGACCAATTACAGCCGAGGAGGTCAGATGCACCCGCCCCTTTGTCTTATCACAGACACACAGAAGAAAATAGTATTGATTCGTCCCGGACTTCAGCTACAAAGCTGGAGTTATTCTGTCTTTACACTGTCAGCTGCCTCTTCTCCTCCTCTCATCCTCTCCCCCTGCCGCTCCTGTTTCTACTTCAATCATGAAACTGATCAATGATCAGCTGATCGGCTTTTCTCTCTCGTGTTTGTTTATCGCCCACTTTGCGCCAGAAAGAGGAAACCAGTGGA